AAAGTTACATTACAGTCAACACAACCTCTTAAGCACGACGCCCCCGAATTTGGGGGCTCTCGGGCTCAGCACCCCTGAAAATATTGTTCGGAAAATGGCCTTATTCTTCGGTAATATTGTGGATTTGTATATTTGTTTTACCGGATTAAACAGCAACGTATGGGCAACACTATCATATAAATCACTTGTTACACACTCCAAACACAACTATAGACTAATATAAGCATCCAGAAAATGTGGCATAAAAGCATGAAATCCTGGGCAAAACTCGCCGTTATGTGTAATGCAAATCAATATTGCATCACGAAGCTAGCGGCTATGCGGCTAATCCGCATATCACTTAGCATTAGCATTCGACACAGAACGCATAAATACCTTCGATTTTTCTCTCCGTGAAACCAGTAGAAAGCTGTGAGTGGACAACGGTACCATGGCACTGCCCTTCACTGGTTTTTGGTCACGTTTTATGAAAAATGATGATAATAACATCGAAAAGTATCCAGTTCAAAGCTACAATCATTGTTGGCAACTATGACGAACGGAAATTTACGCTCGGGGAGACGCGGCACTTCTTGCAACTTTACTCGCTGAAACTTCTGTCAATCAACACCCGCTTCGACGTCCACCTTCCTGAGACGCTGACGCGTCGAAGGCGGGCTCATTGACTGAAATCGACCGATGATAGGCTGAGCTACCATACACACAGAGGAACTGAGAAAATCCTATGGATGACAGCCACAAACAGGCTCTGAGTGCACCCTTGCTGTCAAAATGATTTCTAACGGCTGTATTTGGATGTATTGAATAATATGAGTGATATAAAAAGCTGGTTCGAAAATGATGACCTCGCGTTACCTCTCTGTACTAAAGCCTCTTATTCTTCACTTTATCCCAGCCAACCTTTATTCGACAACTACTGATCGGTTGTGCTATGATTTGGGAGAGTTTTAGGCAGCCAGCTGCATTATTTCAAAAACCTAATATCAATAAAAGTGCTTTTTTTCAGGCAAACCTGATTATTTTCAATTTGAGCTGTGTAATATCTTCATGCACTATATTAACCAGCAACATATACACAATATTTACCCATCTGAACAATCTCAAAGTGTTATCTGATTATAGCATCAACAATTATTAAAATAGACCTTGTAGTTACAGAACTGTGGTCTCCTTAGTATGGGTATGCCATTTTCGAGCAGAGGCCTACAAATAGGGCCCGAGCTTAAGAGGTTTTAAAGCAGCACCGAGCCAGCTGATTGGCCCCATTGTTAAAAATGCAACACGAAATGGGTAAATCAAAGCAAAGACGATACAAAGCCACTCAGAACTACAGAAGGGTACTTCAGCTAGAGAGGATGAAACATTAGAGATGTAACATGTACAGTCACCACACTCTGCAGGTGTGTGTGTACCAGAACAGTCCTCTGTGACTGTGATTAAGCACCACGACTCTGTTCAACTGTGTCAGAAACAAGCTGAGTGCAAGAGTGTGTAATTGCTGAGGAGCTGCCGCTGACTGACCTGACAGCATAAAGAAACCTCCCAGGAGGACGAACGCACGCACATCGTCGGCCACGTCTACACAGACACCACAGATACCAAACACCAAACAAGAGAGTCGCATGCAAACTTTTGCGTGATAAACATCTGCAATTGACAGAACAAACCACATTTCTGGCGAAAGGCTGGACGAAGATAACACAAGTGCTGTCTGCTACTTGCTGGGGAAACAAACCCCATGTCACTCTGTGTTAGTCATTTTGCATAGGTAACAACCCCCCCCCCCCTGCAGCTGATGGACAGAGGGTAATCATACTGTAGTCTGAACTGACTGACAGTTTAATGTGAGCACAGATTCACACCCATGCCCGTCACACACACACACATTGAGCAGCCTTTAAGAAGCGATAAGGTTGATTGACAGTTGTTCTGTCGCTGGCATGTGGCCCCGCTGTTTTATCTAATGAGGAAGTGAGGTCGCTCTGCGCCACTCAGCAGTGACGGATGTGATCTCAGCTCTGTGATATCTGGACAGATACTACATCTTGTTTTTCTGTCCTAACTACTTCACACGTGACTTGTCTCTTATGTTCATAAGTTGCTCTGGTTAAAATCATCAAATTGATGGAAAGATTTATCCGAGTACATTTACTCAAGTACTGTACCTAATTTAACATTTGAACATGTGCGTTCATGAAGATGCAACGTATAAGTGCTGTGTGACTGCAGTTCTGCTCCCAATGAATGAAGACATCCAGCTATTTTACACACTTTTATTTTTAACTGAGTTTTAGTTTTTCCCTTTATTATTTATTGTTATGCATTTCTATTTATTCTGTGTAAACCCACTATTTCTGTACAGTTGCAGTTAAAGATCGGACTATATTCACCCCCTATATTTGTTCTTTAGTAGCACACCGTGACCATTCACATCGTCTGCTCTGTGTTTCACCGAGTGCTGGCCTCAGTATCCACACATTTACAAAGAGAGACTAGCAAAGTGTGGATGTCTGTACTGATCACAAAGGGTTTGATAGTGGATACTTTTATACTATTTGAAGAATTAGATTCTAGTGGTGGAAGCTAAGTGTGTGATCCAAATGAGTTATTGCAACGTTAAGTCCAAAAGTTGCTGTTATGGCCAAAAGTCAACATTTTTTGAAACAAGGTAGAAACAAAATTCACAACATTTTTTTTTATCTCATGAAATATTCTGCTTCAATCCATATTTGTTGGTGTTGTTTCGAAAAGAACATTTTCACTGGAGTCAAAAAACTTGCTGTCTAATCGAGGCACGCACTGACGAGTTATATTCATTTAAAAGTTGACATAATAAAAGAAGACTAGCCCATTTATGCTGATGAATCACTTTATTCAAATTGAAGGCTTTGTGTTGAGTTTTTTTTTTTTTTTTTAAAGGTGACGACATCTTAAAATAGGTGGACAGACATTCAAAGCTTCATTCAAAAACCTGAGTAGAAGCTTTGAATGTAAAAAGAAATGACATTGGGTTCAGCCACAGACGGGATTCAGCTTATCAACAGGGGTGTTTCCCCCAACGTTTGACGTAATAACAATATTTGACAAGGTCACTGTATAAATAACCGTACTTAGCTCTTGTGTGTGTGTGTGTGTTTGTTTGCTCACGTTTGTCTATAAGACTGGATCAGCACTTTCACAAAGTCGCTGTTGCATACCAGTGTCACACTATCACAGGCTGAAGCACAGGTCTTTAAAGGGTTTAACACTGAGGTTTGAACTCTGAGGGATACTCATACAGGGAATTCTAGCCAGGAAGTGAACACTCCCTCAGTGTACCTGCCTTTTTCTTAAAAGGGTTACCCTGCTTCATAGTGGGAGCCTCCCAGTACAATCACAGTCTCTTTTAAAGCTCTTGATCATGGACCGCGGAAACGCAGGGCAAATTTTTCCCAACACCAATGTCTGCAGGGTTGAGCCATCAAGGTAGTCTGATCCAACTATTGTTATGCACCGTCCTCAGATCTCTTCGTCAGCTTTGTACTCAAGGAATAATAAGGTGCAGAGAGAAACTTCACCATATTGCCAACATCAGATTGTCATTTTTACAATGAAGAGGAATTCTGATTCCCTGAACTAGTGTGTATGGTGAAAGATAAGGAAAAAACAGCCTCTGGTGGGAGTTGATATGTTTATATTTCTTAATTCAATTTACGCTTTACTTCGATAAATAGTTATTTTACCGAAATACGTAAAAGCTGCAACATCCCGTTGGCTCCTCAGGCAGAAAAGAACCTTCATAGTTTCTGAAATCTATCGATCTAAGAGCAGCAGAATGAAAAGAAGCTGAAGAATACATAAACTCTTTGATTGAAAGCATATGTGTACTCATGTCGGCCATATTCAAAAATATCGAGGCGGTCCAAGATGTATAAACAGGAGGTGAGCCCGGGTGGAAAGTGAGAAGTCGAGGAGTGAAACAGAAACTGAGCTCCCATCCTGCGCTCTCTCTCTCTCTCTCTCTCTCTCTCTCTCTATCTCTCTCTCTCTCTCTCTCTACCGTACATGCATACTCAGGTCATGTTTATATGAAGGCTTACATAAAGTTGATCATATGTCCCGGTCTCTCTGTTTGCACTCTATATGCAAGGTCCCCGAGTGCTTGTCCATCGTGTCAGCATATTCTGTTATCATACCAGATGTTAGAATGTCTTTATGTCACCCAGATGAACGACTGCTGCTTCACTGTACCTGTTGCATTAAGTCTTCATGTCTGTGCCTCTTTCTTCCATTTCCACTGTACATCCTTCCATCCAGGCAGAAGCCAATACATGAGAAGAAAAGGGTTCGACCGTATGTGTTGAGGGTGTGTTCATTCCAGGCAGTTTTGAGGGGTTTGTTTTCACTGCAAGCGGGATTCCATTCACTTCAAATAACCAAACCAAACACCTACAGACTGCAGGTCTAAGTTCTGTTTGCAAGAAACCGAAGTGCATATATACTGTACGTAAATGAAATGCACAGCAGATAAATACAGGAAATGAGTCTGACACATTTCTACCTCTGCATTCCTGAGCAGTATGAGCACTGGAGAATGTGAATTAATGCACAAACAGCATTGTGCTTAGTTAAAGTTTTAACGGAAGCCTTTTAAATTCCACTTTCCAAAGGCCCCTAAAACTGTCAGCAAAATGTGTAAAAACATGATGCACAGACACAGTTCCATTTGTTGGAATGGTGTTGGGTTTGAATAATTCAGCTTTGATAAGGAGCTGAGGCCAGTTCATACAGAGGTATCATACTGTCAGACAATAGTAAGACACAGGCACGGCATTGTGGGTGGGCCTAAGGGGCCTGAGCCCGCCCACTTGTACAACATATTTATTTTCTTAACTTTTATTTTTAATTATTAAGAATTATCATAGAAGTACACAATAAAGTGTTGTTATTTTAGCGTTTAATTATAAGGCATCATAATTTAGCAGCCTCTCACTCTTTGTGTGTGTCTCTCTCTCTTGCAGATGTACAGACCAGAGTAAACGGACGGCCTCTCGGCTCCAGGATGGCTCTGTAAAACCATTCCTGTGTTTTAGAGCGAGCATCCCAGAGGGGTTGTGTGTTTCATCAGGACCTTGGGACACACGCACACACACACACACACACACACACACACACACACACACACACACACACACATTGATGTCCAGCCTCTCCTTATTACAGTAGCCCTGGCAGACCTCTAATCTCTAAAAGATTGATGAGGTCCTGTTAAAGCGCAGGAGGCCTGGCACAGCGTCGATAAGGCAGCTTTCATTTCACCACATTCTACCCCTCGCTCCCTACTTTCTTCTCCTCTTCTCCTCCGTGCTGAGGGATGCCGGACCTGGCTTTGAAGCGCGAGGGAGGATTATGACACGCCAAGGACCCTGGGTTTAAAAAAAAGGAGAACCATGAAATGCCCCGAAAATGACAGCTCCGTTTTCTTCTGTTGCTCCATGTCGGACAGCCGCGTGGTAGCCGAGCAGGACGTCAGAGTCGGCATGTCACTGTCAAACTGCTGGAGCTGGAATAAAGTGAAACTACAGAGGGACAGTCAAAGCTGAGAGTTGCTAAACACATATCACACACCTGCACACACACACAGACAAAAATACACCCAAAGCGTTCCACACAGGACAATGTGCAACATCTCGTTCTGTGATGTGGACAGTAAGGTGGACCAGTTCTTCCAGCCAACGCTCTACATCATAGTCATCGTTCTGGGACTGCCCACGAACTGCATGGCACTGTGGGCTGCCTACATGCAGGTGAGGAGGACACACACACACACACACATTGAGAATACTTTCACCTTTGGTAGGCTGTTTATGCACTGAGGACAGTCCATTCGACAGACAGTCGCGGTTTACAGTCGCGCCGGGAACAGAGGGCTTAGTCACTTTCATTTTCCGAGCCGAACTCGAGCCGGTCGCTGCACAACGCAGTGGAGGAAATGCACCTGGCGAGTGCCAAGCTAGCCCACCCGTTGAGAAGTGTAAAAATATTTACGGTTCAATATGAAACGCACAATGCCACTTGGTTGACGTTGTGATACGATTGGTTAGGTTTAGACAACAAAACTACTTGGTTAAGTTTAGAGAAAACGTAGTTTGTGTTAAAATAATGACGTAACAACGTAATGTACCAATGTAACTAGCATAAATAAATAATAACCGTCTTTAGCAGACTTCCCTCCATAATGTTGTGCACAAACAGTGGTCTCCTGGGTGAAAGTCCTGTGTTTGTATGACCCAGCCGTGACCGCTCCACATACTGCATTTCTTGCTATGCGCACTGATCGTTATAATACTTCACTTGTTCTGCTCAAATGCAAAAATGTTTGTGTTCAAAAGAAGAATTTGAAACAGCTTGAAAAGCAAAAGACTGAGCTTACATAAGGGGCAAACGCAACCAGCGGTGCATGACGCACGTCAAAATTCCTTTACCTGTCATCAAAACTCACATGAAGCCACGATGATGCATCAAGATGCCCATGCCCATGCCTAATGCCCCAAAAACTAAAGTCAAGTCAGAAGCTGTGCCAAAATGTCATGGCATTATGAACAGTGATTGCTTCTCTTCCAGCATGTGAAGCGAATTTAACCCATCTTGAAACTGTGGGCTGGTTGCTCATTAAACAACGTGCTGTTTTCTGAAAATTACAGAAGAAAGCGAGTCGTGTAATGTGTTATGTAGCTAATTACTTCTTTAAATAAAAATAATAAGTAACATGATTTTCACTGTGTAATAACACATTTTCCAAGTAACATGTCTGACATTACTGGCCACATACACGTCAACAGAGCACTGGGGCTTGTTTTCCCATACAGCATAAAACGTTGGCAGTGTTTCCCACAGACGGTCAGTTTACTTTGGCAGCAGCGGACAGAATTGTTATTGACTTTTCATTCAAGCAAGTTCACTAGCTCGTAAAAGTTTCAACTTTCTGTTTGGCTTCCATCTCAGCATCAGGGCGACTCCTCCAACTTTCAAACTCCAACTTTCTGAATTCCGGTCGAGCCCTGGCCCAAGCACAGCACAACACGCAGGAGCACAGGTGCGCTCTGGCCTAGGTGCATTATGGTTAGTGTAGTTCCCCAAACAGCCTTCGGCGCTCGGTAGCATTAACTGCGTTGCTGAGAGCCACCAGCGTTGGGAATGACAACGCCTGAACCAAATCCAAAACACGGACATACTTGGCGCACTGTTTATTTACCACGGCAGTTTTGTCAAAATATTAAAATTGTAATATCAATACTGCATGTGAAACAGACCATTCTCCTAGTTGGTGAATTTCAATCCATGTGCTGACAAATCAAATTAGAAAAGCTTAATGGAAGCCGTCCAGTGGACAAGTTGATCTGCTGCTACCGAAAAAATGGTTTCCCTTCCTCTCACTTACAAGCACTTGTTGTGGTCTATTACCGAGTGCACGTGTCGGTTTTTTTAAGGCATGGAATATGTTCATCTGTATGAGCCACTAAACAACAATAATACATACAGACCTCATTTTTTAGACTTTGCATTTCTTCCAAGTCTTGACATTCAGGAAACCAAATGATTTGCAGCTGATACGAAATACACATGTTATTGGCATTTTATTGGCATTTTCAAAGGTTTGCATACAAAGAAAACACACAAACACTCATTATATTTTCCCTGATTGTTTACCTTTTATATAAAAGCACAGAAGCTGAACAAAACACTCGTATACCTCTCTATCATTGCACCATCATTTTGATCCATTTGATCCTTTAAATTTAAATTGTCATCTCTCTCCCATCTCTCACTCCTGCCTCCCAAACCCTTTCTCCATCGTCGTTCCATCCTTGCACTCATCACATTCCTCCCACCAGGTACGGCAACGCAATGAGCTCGGCATCTACCTGATCAACCTGTCAGTGGCTGACCTCCTCTACATCACCACTCTTCCTCTGTGGATCGACTACTTCCTGCAGCACGATGACTGGATCCACGGTCAGGAGAGCTGCAAGCTGTTCGGCTTCATCTTCTACACCAATATCTACGTCAGCATCGCCTTCCTCTGCTGTATATCACTGGACAGGTACCTGGCCGTGGCATATCCTCTGCGCTTTGCCAAGGTTCGACGCATCAAAACAGGTATGTTCTGTTAAGGATGGTCTTTTGATAATGTATGTAACCTAAAACTAACTCACGTAAAACTAATTATGCTTGGAGATGAAAAGTCATGCAATGTCATTAGCAACTCTGATGGAGGAATCTACAATGAAACTTAAGTTCCAATAAAACAAGTCAGTAACTTCAGTACATACAGGGTACTGTATTTATAAAGTCATGTATCCTCATGGAGAACATTTGTGTCCAAAGCAGAGGGTATTCAGGCCTGTTTGTTGAAATTAATGATTACATAGGTTGGTAGCTATATGGAGTCACTCAATCGATTGAGAGTTGCGGACTTTTCAAGAACACCCTATTTTCTTTCAACACAGTAAAGCCTTATTCACAGAGGCTACAGGAATGGAAATCACTGCAAAGTCGAGTATTTCTCATTCCTTTATTTTTCTCTCCTGATGTTCCTGCAGCTGTCCTGGTCAGCGCCATGGTGTGGATAATTGAGATCGTGGCCAACTCTGCGCCCCTCTTCCACGATGAGCTCTTCCAGGATCGCTTCAACCACACCTTCTGCTTTGAGAAGTACCCCATGCAGGACTGGGTGGCAGGGATGAACCTCTACAGGACATTTCTGGGCTTCCTCGCTCCTTGGACAGCCATGCTCGTGGCCTACCGTGGGATCTTGGTGGCGGTGCGCTGCAACGTCTCGACAGAGCGCGAGGAAAAGGCCAAAATTCAGCGTCTGGCACTAAGTCTCATCCTGATCGTTTTGTTTTGCTTCGGACCGTACCACATCCTCCTCCTGGTGCGGAGCGTCATGTTTATAAGGAAGCCATGTGACTGTGGCTCAGAGGAGAACTTGTTTGCAGCGTACCATGTATCGTTGGCTCTGACGAGCCTCAACTGCGTCGCCGATCCCATCTTGTACTGTTTCGTCAACGAGGGGGCTCGGCACGACGTTGGCCGAGCCCTCTCGGCTTTACTTTCAGCAGCTTGCAAGAGGGGCTCCTCTTCCTCACCATCGCACGGCGACATGCACAACGCTGGTTCGGTGACTGTGGATACGCCGCTGTCAACAAAGAAGCAGTCTTGTGTGTACGCTGATGGAGCCAAGACAAGCAGCTTCAAGACAGAACTGGTGGCTCTGAAGGAGGAGTGTCTACAGATGACCATCCTCGGTGTCAGGAAGTGACATCATCCTGAAATAAACTAGACAAAATTGTCTGCAGCCACGGTAGCAGCCCCTGTGAGATTGAGATGCTTACACACCAGAAAGCAAAGTTGTTGGGTGAACTACTTGGCTACTGTTCAATCTTTACCACTAGTGGGGCAAAAAAAATGTGGCCTGAGGGTGACACTTGAGAACAGGTCACGTTGTAAACAAAAGGGAGTATCCGATGTACAGCGACCGTTTCAGCACATCTGACAGACAGCTTGTCGGGCTCAGTTCTTTGTTGCAAATTTGGCATAACGTTCATGACTTCAAGCTGTAGTTTGTCAGCCTCTGCACAGCCGCACTGCATGCTAATGTTAGGATGTTAACATGCTGTATTATCATTAATCCCAGAGTGCAACTGAGGCTGAGTCAGTCGTTAGCCTTAGAGGTATATCCTCAGGAAGTGTTGGATCAGAGGAAGTTTTGACCTGCCGGTGGTGATATATGTAAAAGTCAGGGGATCACCAAAGTCTTCACGATTCAGCCTCAGTGGACCACAAATGTCTCTACCAAATGTCATGCCAATCCATCAGCTAGATTTTTTTTCAGTCTGGACCAACAGATCAAAAGGCCAGCTGACGTCCCACCGGTGCGGCTAATGAGGATCTTATCAAACACAGCTTGGACATCTACCCACTGTGTCAGAAATAACCCACAATGCCTAGGAACGTTCTTGAATACTAAAGTGGAATTATTGAAAACGCTCCACATTCTGCATGGCTGAGTATTGTTAGTGGTCTGAGAGGAAACACACTTTAAATTCAGACTACATGGAGAGAGGGCAGATGTAAGAGATTGGGATTTGACACACAAATGCGCCATTTTGGATTGTGGAACAAGGGCAGAAGGGTAAAAAAAGGAGATTGTAGATTACTGGTCAATAAAACGTAGTGAAGCCTCATGAAGTACCTCAGCTTCTAAACTGTGATAGCAAGAAGTCTTATAGTAGAAGTGTCTCTTACGTTATGTGAGCAATGTCTTTTTTCTCTTTACATTTTTACAGGCAGCAAAATTAATCAGAACTCCAAGATGACAGAACATTCTCAACCAAAGCTTTCATTCAGCTTGGTTTGAAAGTCAAATGTATCAGTTATTGCAACCACATTATGTTGAGAGCTCCGTAGAGCAGAAAAACAGCCTTAACTGAAACTGTGTTGCCTGAAAACCATCTCTCCACCTGATTGAATCCGAACTACATGGTTGGGCTTCGGTAAATGCTGCCCACTTGACCTGATACTGTTTACATTCATTTAACTTTGAAGTTTAACTGTCCCAAACTTCCTCAATATTTACAGCACACTCTCTTTTCTTTGCTCGTCACACAAATTGCACAACAAAGTTTTCAGATCGTCCTCCCTAGAGGAAGGATTTGGAAAGTCAGTCTTGATTCAAGTGACACTCCAAGGGAAACAGATCAAGAGAAACTTCTCTGTAATGTCCAAAGTGTGGTGAGGAAATTAAGAAATAGTTCTTTGGATATCCACCTAAAACCATCTGTAGTGAACTTAAAATGTACATTGAGCGTTTGTCTCTTTTAGTACGTGAAGCTGATTGTTATTATAAATATGACAATTTTGATCCAACAACACGCATTCGCTGCCATTTTTTGCCACATATTGACTTTGAAGTCCTGATGTCAAGTGAGAGGCGTCAGGGCTTGAGACTGACTTAAGAGATCTTCCTTTTCCTAGTTGGCAGCTTGTTTTTACAGTAAACCCCACACATAGTGACCAAAACGTTTCTTTTCTTTTTTTGGCACTCAACCATTGGGATCCCCTTAATGGCTGCTACATAAAGAAAGTGTCATTGCAGACTGGACACAGCCGTCAGAGCGAAAGGCATCTTCAACTTATAAAATCAAGTTCAGTTTATCTTCGGTTCAAATTCTCTCCATTTCTTTTTTTAAGTGTTTTTTTGCAAATCTGTGGTAATGACATTTCAACAAATTGTCTGTTTACATACAGAATGTCCTGCTTTATGTTCACACATATATAACAACAACATAAATACTTATAAAGTATTAAGTATTATGGCTGAAATAACTCCCTGCCCACACAGTGGTTTCATTTGGATTGACAACAAGTGTTCATGTTGCAGTTACTGGCCATCAATTCACTTTGTAGGGTTAGAAATGTTTTGGAAAGCGACCTGGTGATCCCCAGCAACACCTCTTTCTTTAATGTTGTCTTGGCATGAAAGCACTCCTCTATTCAGCGCAATGATGTTAAGGCGGGGGGGATTTTTTTGCACACATTCAGCTGGTCGGCGTTGCCCTACACGCTGCCGTGTACCTTTGCTTTTGTTGTGCATCCGCATGTCAGTCAGAGAGAGGAGGCACCGGGCTTCAAAATGTGTATTTGTGCATCGACAATGTCAGTGAGAAATAAATGATGCATATGAAAACCTTTGTGTCGTTCTGCGATTGTTTGTTTGGCCTTTTGAAGTTTCCTCCATAATTTCCTTCAGTTATGATGACGCTGGACCGTTGCTGAAATTGCTCAAACCTGAAAATGTTACGACCTCGGTGAAAAAGAAGTCCGACAGATGATCAAAGTTTAGCTAAACTCATTTAGAAGAGACAAAGGCAAAATGTAAAATGATTAACCAATCTGTGACCCTTGACGTCCCGGTCACAGATGCACCATGGATGCGCTTACTTTTTGACTTTTACCAAATAAAGTGGATGAATAAACTGGTTTAACTACTGTGAACAAACTCTTTCCAGTTGCTGACTTTGTGTTGGGATGCTGCCAACAAAAATCTCCTTCTTCACTCTTCACTTTGTCCTGTTCTAGACTCCCAGAGCTGCACGGCTAATGAATAACGTGAAGGACTTACTGTAGGGATCTGTGCATGTGTGTGTGTGTGTGTGTGTGCACGCTGATGTATTTGCATGTTCAGAGACCGAGGCGATTATTAAAAGCTGTAATGTGAAGAATCACTACGAGACATAACTAAAATCTTTTGAGAAAACGTACCCACTTAGATCTGAAATGAAGGAATAAAAAATAAACCTAAGAGCCAAATATGATCAGAATCCGAAGTCACTTCACAATAATAAATAGAGCTGAAACAAGTGATAACCACAGATAAAGTCGCTGCACACAGATTTCTCTTTTTAGAAGATGAGAAGAATATAATATTGTGGCTTTTTTGGGTGACATCACATCACACCTGAGTGAACTGAATTTAAAGCTGCAGGGCAATTCATTTTAAATGAAGTACTTTATTTTAATTTTTCAAAAGCTTTCTGTTATTATTTTTATTTTTAAATGCATCTCTTATTTTACATGAAATGAGAGAACATTTCTTGTTGGAGTATGTATTATTTATAAATCATCCAGTTCAATTTGAAAACTGATATTGTTGAGATATTATTCAACTGAACTTTCTGACTGAGCACAATGGCTTTCTTATCTCTCTGCTTGAGCTTCCCTTCCCCTTCTCTGTTAAAAATTAATATTATATTATATTATATCTCTTATAATAAATAAAATATCCATGATGTAGTGTAACTTTGTTTATTTGCATCCATCTAACCCTGAAAGGAAATAATACAGTCAAATATAATCAACTAATATCATGTCAAATGGTAAGGGTACAACAGCAACCTGTTTGGGTTTATAATAAAAGATAAAAATATAGAATTCACCAATAGGACTTGCTTACTATTTTAAGTAGCTTGCAGAAAAATACACTTGAAATCCATGAATCCCTCATTCACTACAAAACTAACCCAATTTCAATGGTGTGCTACCTCTATGTAGCACACGGTGAGCTGTTTATGCCTCCTACAACTGTGACCAATGTGACCCAGAATCCATTTTTAAGATGCATGTCATAATCTTATTAGTAACTCACTCAGCTGCATTTCCATCCTTGCAGAGGAAGCAGGTCACCACCCCCCCCCC